ATCGCAACGCGGGGTTTGCAAGTATGTTAATTCCTTGTACAGAACACTGACATTTCTCTGCAATGATAAAAATCAGTGAAAGCTCAAAAGAATCCACCAGAGATCATCCAAACACTCCCCCCTCCCGTAGGAGGAAGAACCCCAGGAGGTATTTCACAGTCACTTTTTCCCATCCAGAAAGACAGAAAGATCCTCCAAATACAAATGTATCTCCTGATTTCCCCCAAGACAGACCTGCTTCCTCTGAAATGGACGGAGGGGAAATGGGGGAAGCAGCAGCAGCAGCTGGGAGGGGAGGAAAGTTTCCATGGAAACCCTTCTCTGTTGCTCTTTGACCAAAGCCTTTGAAAGGAGGGAGGGGATTCTGCTTCCCAACTCAGGAGAAGACAGGACGGCCTGAATAGACTCAGCCAAGTCTAAACTGGAGTCCCAGCAAGAGGGTTGGGAAAACAGGAGGAAGCCCACAAGGATCTCCCCAAAGGGAGAGATTTGGGAGGAATCTCCACATCTTCCTTAAATCGCTCCTCAAAACGATACTTACTGAGGAAGATCAAGATCCCAACAATCGCCCACAGCAGTACAAGGCCAACCACAACGCAGCCGATGAGGAGCCCCAGGTTGGATTCTGGAAGGGAATTGGGGAAAGGAGCAGATCCCTGAAGGAGATCCCCACACAATCCTCCCAATTAGGGCAGAGACTTAGAAGCTACAGCAACAGCACTGAGACGCCTATTGTCAGCGTTCCCAGTAAGGCGCCCTCTGAAAGCAGAACTCCCAGGCAGGCGGATTCCTCCAAGAACATGAGATTATTGGATGCATCATATCCGCACAGTCAGTGTATGGAGTTCGTGAACCAGAATAGATATGGCAACAAGGCAGCCAATGGGGGCTGCTCGGAAACTGAAACGTAGTATGTGTTTTGTGTGGAGCCATAAGAGACAGTTGGAGTCTGGCCGTGGCTTTGACTTGCTGAACTGTATATAAGAGTTGGTTTGTCCTCCGTAAATCTAGGCCTCTAAATCTAGGCCTCTGTAAATTTAGGCCTCAGGGCCTCTGATTCTATCTCTCTACTCCGTAATGACTTGCTTCGGTGAATATTGCTTCCGTGTTCCTGAATTTGTATGCTGACTTCTGCTGTATGGAATTGTATATAAAGAAGTTTCTTATGTAGATGAATCCTGCAGAAATATTTTACTTCTGTGCTAGTCGGATGTGCTGCAGATACTGTTCAGAGTTTTGCAGCGTTAATTCAGTGCCAGAAAAATAAACACAGACGGCTGATGCTTCATTTAACATCTTTATAAACACAACAAGTAGACTTTACACACCAGTTGTAGATTTCTCCAACATGGAGCAAACTCAGACAGAAACATGTTGCGAGTAACTTCAGTAGCGGAGAGAGAAAGAGAGAAGTTTCAGTTTCACTTTAGTTCAGCAAGCAAGCAGAGGAGAGAAGCAGTTTCATTTTCAACAGACAGACTCAGAGCTCAACATAACTTCAGAGCTGCAGAGCTGAATACAGAGCCATGCCTAGGCTTAGTTTCAGTTTCCAGCCTAGGCTATTTCTAGTTTCAGTTTCCAAACTTGCCCTCACTGGCTGATTTATTTGTTATGCCTGTTCATTGGCTGACCTTGTTACCGAGCTCTATTCCAGTTCACAAATATACTCTGACACACGCACAGCCGGTGAAACCCAAGTCTAAAGTTCCCGCGGTTTATTTCACCTGGTTTAAAAAAGTAAAAGTCTCTCCTCCCAGACCTCACCGGTCACATTGTCCAATAGCAGGGCTGGCAGGTTGTTTGATCACTCCTCTCTTCCTCTCACAGCCATCTCTTCAGATGACCTTGGTTCCCACAAGACAGCTTTTTCTTTTGATGGCCAAGCTGGTCTGTGTATCTCCCCCCTCCCTTCCCCCTCTCAGGGCTTGTGACAACTATGAGGCAGCAAAAGATGGCTTAAGTCACTTCACTTCAGAGTTGACACCTATACCGCCCCATAGTGCTTTACACCATTCTCTCCGTGGTTTACACAGTCAGCCTCTTGCCCCCAACAATCTGGGTCCTCATTTTAATGACCTCAGAGAGATGGACGGAAGGCTGAGTCAACCTTGGGCTACTCAGATCGAACTCCAGGCAGCAGGCAGAGTTAGCCTGCAATGCTACATTCTAACCACTGAGCCACCAGGTTTTTTGAGAGAGGGTTATTTTCCTTTGGTTTGATGCCAAACTTCAGGAATTCCTATCAATCTCTGATTATAAAACAGTGTGTCGTTTTCTTTCTTAGAGCAGCAACACAGAGTGACATTTTGTTCTTTACACACCAGCAAAGCCATGTAAGTCTGTCAAGGCAAAAACCTCAGACTGACAGCCGCTTTTCTGACTCCTGAGCCATCAGACCAGCCACTCTGCGCATTTCCTGAAGTCAGACACAGTTCACCACTTGGAATGAAATCTGGCATTGAGAAAAGGAGCTGCCAGATTCCTCCTGATTTTGGTGCTTTAGGAATTCTAAACAAAAGGAAATCTCTTCTTGGTGCTTAGCATAAGTGCTGTTCCCATGCAGGAAACTGGGGAGGAAGGGGAGGAAGAGAGCTAAGAGGATCTAATGGCATTTAATCAGGATCAGCCAACTGTTCTGATGGGATCTGTTGCTTGCTTGAAATCAACTAAAGCCAATTCTATTGAATGCAGGACCACAAACCTCAACAATGGAAATATCAATGGATTAAAGGTCAGGTATGCTCACATCTGGACACATCTGGGGTCAGCTTTCTTCCCCCACAATCTTCCAGCCTGCCAAAGATCCCAGCCTTCCCCTCCCTGCAGCCTTTCACCTTTTATGGCCACGTCCAGAGGCTCCTGCAGCCCATCGTGCTCCACGTGGCACCAATAGCGGCCCCTCTCTTTGGGGTTGATCCGGATGCTGAGCCAGTAGTGGTAGGTCCCATCTGCGTTGGGAGCCACAGACCGACAGAAGGTCTCCTCCTCCCAGACCTCCCTGTCCCTCGTCCAGGAGGCATCGATCTCCCTGGGGTAGAAGCCATCCAGGCGGCAGACATGCCATCCTCCACCTCCGTCCTGCTGCTCACCGTCACCACTGGGGGATCTGCAGATATACCAGAATTAACTCTCAGCCCCTCCAGAGCCTGGAAGGTGGGTGAGAAACCTGGAGGGGAAGGAAAATCTCTCACCACTTAATTTTAATCCCAGGATTTACATTCCATACCTGCAAAGTCTCCAACAGTTTTTGGGAAGGCTCCAAATCTTGAAAATGCTGAACCCCAAGGACTCCTGATTCTGAGTCCATCTCAGCCTGAAGAACCTCCAGCAGCAAATTGAGGGTCCAACTAAATTCAGCTCTGACTGCTTTGAACTCTGAGTGATCTTGGGCTGCTCCCTTCAGGGGAGGGATCTTGTAGCTGATCTTTAGCGGTTCCCTTTAAGAAATAATAACACAGCGACTTCTCCCTACTTTTGGGGTCCACTTTTCCAAATCTGAGGATGTTCTAGGGCTCTTTCAAGAGACACAACCACAATCTCAGGATTATTTTATTTAGCCTAGGACAACATTTTCTAGGGAAGGGAGAAGGACATTCAAAACAAGGAACTGGGGGATTTTTCAATCTCACCCTGGTTCATTTGGAAAAGAGATTCTCTCCCTCAAGGGGAGCAGAGAGAGGTGAGGCCAATGGAAGAGAGAGAAGCTGTTGGCAGTTGCGGGGAGGGGTCTCTAATGGATCCTGATCTCACCCAGCTGGTCCTGGAGGGACCAAGGAGCCCAGAGAGGAGCCTGTAAGGCCAAAAGGAGGAGGATGGTACAGGAAAGGGAAAAGGGCGAAATATTACAATGTGAGCAAGAAGCCCTGAGGGGTGAGGGAGCGATCCTGAATGGTGAGGAAGGGGTTGTTTTCTGGGGAAGCCACTCAAGTCAAAGATAAGGAAGCTGTTTGAGGTTTCAGAGAAAGAGCCACAGAATCTGTGGGTTCCCCTCCCACTTAACCTTGGCCATTATGTGGAGGCACTGATAATGTCCTATTCATGGTGGGTGCCCCCTTGTGGTGGGTGTGGGAGATGCATTATCAGATGCAAAGGAGGGAGGGAGCCCCCTATGGGATGTGGGGGGAAAGAAAGTTGCTGGGAGGAAATTAAGGAAATCACACTAGGATCCGTTTTGGCTCACGGTGGATTCCCTGAAGAAGTGAAAGTGGCCCTGTTGCCTCTTCATGAGCTGTGAACAGGATCCCCCTGATGGCTTTTGCTGGCCGGTAGACGCTGCATTTCCTGGTTCATTGAATGGCTCCCTGGCAATGGGAACCAAACAGGCCTTCTTCTTCCCACATTCTGGAGAGGTGCTGGAAGGGCAGGATTAGCTCCTGAGCAGCCAGGCTGCAAAGCAGAACTCAAAGGGGCTGAATGTGTCCAAAAATTAGGTCTGTAAAGGAGGAAAGTCCAGCCTGGATCCAGATGCTCACCTGTCCTCAGCAGCATCTCCTTCCCATAGGACAGGTACTTCCTTATCCAGTCAATGCAGATTTCCTCCAGGTAGGATTTTAGGAACTGATTGTGTGCTGGAAGAGCCTCCCATTTCCTCTGGGAGATCTGGGCCTGGGGGTCAGGAGCCACCCAGGTGAGGGTCTCCTTGTCGAAGGTGAGGAAGGTCCTCCCTTCGTAGCCATACTGCATAAACCCTCCTTTGCTCCTGTTTGCCTGGAGTTCACAGCCATACATCTGCTGCCACGTGTGAAGGCCTGAAAGAGGGACAGGAGGATGGTTTAGGGAGTCCTCAGGAGACACAGGGCCCCTCCCTCCCTACAGGGATTTGAGACGGGAAGGAGGCACTGACTGACACCTCCATTTCCTCCATAACGATTACCCCCAATTGTCCCATTGCAGCACCCCCTGCAGGTCGGCCTGGGTTCCTGCATCTCCCCTAATGGAGCCCTGAACCTCGCCAGGAAATGGGCAGCTGGCGAATCCCCCTTTCAGCTCCTCAGGATCAGTAAAGAAACAGCGGGGGATTCTGAGGAGGATCAAGAAAAGAAGGGGGCACAGAAGTA